CAAATGCAATTATAAATGGTTCTAATATTCTCAAGGGTATTTACAAGTAGCATTGGAGAATCCTCGGGGTTGGGTAATTGTTTTAACATGGCCAACTAGTTTGAGGGCGACCATGGTTTGTAAGCCCACCACTGGCTTAATTGTGCATTTGACACCCGACCAGGGGCATCAATATCACTTGCTGATGCACCAGATTGATCCATATCAACAGGTGATCCACTACTGGATCACCTGTTGATATGGATCAATATGGTGCATGGGCATAAGCATATGCTGTGGGGATCTAGGAAAATCCCAGCTACAGCACTTCTCCTCCCATCAATGTTTATTCCACTGGAAGGGGCAAATCCAATGAAAGTGTCCAGTGACTGGGTTTACTGTGAACAACTGTGGAGTTTTTTTATTACCATCTGTACTGTGTGCCTTATTGGGGTAAGGAGGGGGCTGAGTTTCCTTAGGGGATTCATCATGAAACGACCCATAACATTGATAATAGGGTATCCCCTTTCTAGTAGTTTCTGTACAGCCACACTGTGACAATTTGACTGCAGTAACATGCCATTTTTGAGCTTTCTCTGTTAACTTTTTATCTTCAAGCCATCCTTTATATTTTTCCATAAATTCTTGCCATCCTTGTGTCTCTAAGCTCCCTCCTGGAGTCATTCCTGCTTTCTTTAGCATAGATGTAATGCCTGTCACAGAATCCTTACCTTGGTGATTCTTCATGATTTCCGTAGCCGTCAAATCCTCCCCAGGGAGACTATAAGAGTTTCCCATTATTATACCAGGGTTAGCTAGACCCTCAGGTTGAGGCAGCAGTCTGTCACAGTGTAATTCTTGTATAAACAACAAAAACACTAACAAGTGTAATAAAAACACTTTACAGTGTGTAAACACAACACACCCCTGCAGAGGAATTTTAACACAGACTCAGCCTTACAACTTACTCTAAATGCAAATCAGGAGATCTGCTGTGGAGGATATGGATTTTCATCATACAACAAATCACCATGCCAACAATTCTCCAACAATTATTACAACCTGACAGGCGCAGATGAGTTCTACAGTCTGCAATTCCAGCTCACAATTCATGGCTATTTTAAGCAACACCTCTGGTTGTATCATGTAAAACAGGTTCTTGGGAGTTAGCCAATTTTAAATAGACACTCACCCAGATCTGGAGAAGCCCAGGAAGTGAGAGTGAAAAAAAGTTGTAGAAATAAGTTTCCTACTGTGCAGTTCCATGGTTTCGCTATCACTTTAAAGGATCCCTCCATGTGTGATCTGGGAAAACGTCCATAGTTTGAACCTCCTGGGTTTCTCTGCACCAATTGATATAGAAATTTACAATGGATAAATCATCCAAGAGATAACCAGAGGCTCCTAATTAGATGTACGAGCGCTCGGGAGAACCGATAATAAAAACCACAGACTTTGTACTGTTGTAGTTCAAATATCATCTAATCTTTAAAGGACCACTATAGTGCCAGGAAAACATACCCGGCTCTGGAAAGGGGAAAGGGGTTTAAACTTACCTTTTTCCAGCGCTGGGCGGAGAGCTCTCTGCCTCCTCTCCTCCTCCGTTATGCCCCGCCGGCTGAATGCGCACGCGCGGCAAGAGCTGCTCGCGCATTCAGCCGGTCGCATAGGAAAGCATTTACAATGCTTTCCTATGGACGCTGGCGTGCTCTCACTGTAAAAATCACAGTGAGAAGCACGCAAGCGCCTCTAGTGGCTGTCAATGAGACAGCCACTAGAGGGAATAGGGGGAAGGCTTAACCCATTAATAAACATAGCAGTTTCTCTGAAACTGCTATGTTTATTAAAAAATGGGTTAACCCTAGCTGGACCTGGCACCCAGACCACTTCATTAAGCTGAAGTGGTCTGGGTGCCTAGAGTGGTCCTTTAATTGGGAGAGTCTTGCATATATAAAATGGCATTAGTCTACTGCGCATGTGTACATGAAAACATGCAACAATTACTTACTTGAGAGAGTCTTATCTAGAATACCAAGGTTGAAACAAAAGTAACTTTTCATGCAAAGGAATGTGCTGCAAAGATTGCTGATGGAAGCAGAAGCAAAGACATTAACTTTTAACCCTTTCAGACTTAACTAAGGCAAAGGTGTTAACCCTTTATTTACCTTTATCTACGACAATCCCTAAATCCTGGACTGGTAGGGGGTACTTGAGGACTGAGTTGGGAACCACTGCTCTAGATTGTAAGCTAGTTTGAGCAAGATGCTCATTAATCTATTGTTGTACCATTTTGTAATTGTCTCATTAATTGTTAAATTTTCATCTTTATAATATTGAAAAGCACTACAGAATATATAAAAGTGTCAGTAATATTAAAAGGACACTATAGGCATCCAGACCACTTCCGCTCATTGAAGTGGTCTGGGTGCAATATCCCATGTCCCTTTACCCTTCAGTGGTTAGCCACTAGAGGGACTTCCGGGTGCTTAGATGACTTTTGGTCGTCTAAACGATGCTGGATGTCCTCATGCATCACCAGAAGACCCATAGGAAAGCATTGATTAATGCTTTGCTCTAGGGAAATCCTAATGCGAGCGCAGGCATCGACATCAGCCGGCAGGGGAGGAGCATGGGCATAGCATGACCCAGCGCCACTGGATTCAGGTAAGTTTTCACAGAAATGGTAGCGAAAATGGAAGTACAGCCCCGTTAGAGAATTTTTCCATTTGGCTATTTTGATCTTAAAGGGACACCATAGACCACAGGGTGCAGTCTGGGTGCAGTGTCCCTGCCTGTCCCCTTCATTGTAGTTTCAGACAAACTGCAATTTTTACATTAAAGAGGTAATGTAAAACTGCTTATAGTGGCTGCTTACCAAGATAGATAGTTTAGTTTGTTTTTCTACACCTTTTTAGCACTAGGTAGCACTTATGCACTAATTTTGTTAAGTTATTTTTTTCTACCTTTGGTACAGGAAGGGTGATAGGTTCAGGTAGGCACCAGTGATTTATTCACAGTGCTGAGGTAATATAGGGAGATTTTTTCTATGTCTAGAGACTGGAGGCGCAAAATGTGGGGTTTTCTGGGGTAGTTATTCCTTACTCCTAGCCTCTACACCCTAACCTCTTACTGCACCTGGACACTAGCACTATACTAAGCATTGTAATAGATGTATACTTGTCCAGTATCTTTGACAAGCTGCACTGGGGCTGCATATAAGGACCCCCTTCTAGCTTATTGAATCTGGACAGCAGTTTTTTGCATTTAGTTGTACAGGGGATTGTGTTTATTTTGGAGACTCTACTTATCTCCTTAGCCTCTATACCTTCCCCTCCATTTATTTATTTTGGGCGGTGTACAGGCTTATGTGTGTAAATACATATATCTTTTCAATCCCCTCTCCCCTCCACCTAATGTTGGGACGTTTGTACGCTGGTATATTGATAACTAGTTGTCTCTCACCCTGCCCTGTTTTAAGGCTTTTATACTATTGTTTTTCTCCCTTAGGTTCAATAAAGGTAGGGCTTTCCTCAGTATTTCCTCCTCCCTTTTATGTTAGCTCTCCCATCAGGACACCACAGTCCAATTCCTCTTCCAAGATACCTTAGACTACTCATCCTATTCTCAGACCCTGTGTTACTTGCTACTGGACTTAAAGGGACACTTCAGACCATAAAGCACTTCAAAAAGTACAGAATTCAACAGAAATTGGCCACATCTCATTGAAGCTGAAAACATTGCAGCTTTAGAGAAAGTATAGTTTTTACAATGCAGGGTTAAGACTGCCTCTTCCTGGCTTTTAACAGAGTTTGTATTCCTAACACTAGTGTCCCTTTAACCTTGTTACACCCCCTGGCTGTCAGGAAGCTGGTCATGTTACTTCCTGGTTTGGTTAGCTAAGTGGAGCAAGACTCAAGAGGCAGCAATTGCCCAGAGCACCTGCCTTGCAAAATCTTCTCATTGAGCTGCACTGAGAAGTCTGTGATTGTACAGCCACAAAAAGTCTGGGCTGGGTTAGAATGGGAGAGCTTGCAAAGGAAGCAGACTAGAAAACAGCAGCTCTTTCAAGCTGTTTTTAGATATACTCCAAATGTAGAAATGCTAAAATAAACATGCATGTTTCATTGGCGCTATAATTACTACCTTGTTTTGTTAGACTTGGGCAGTGGTGTGTCTTTTTAATCCATGACCATATTGTAGGTGAATAGACAAAAAGATAAAGGAAGACTTGTGCTCCTGGGGGACTAAGTAACTACTGTTAATTTGAGTGAGGCATTACACTTGCATGAAATAGAGCAATTTCCCATCTTCTACCATGAGCAAAAGGAATTATGATGAAGGTACCTCCACATTTGGTAAATTTTACCCCTTTACCTGCCATTTCTGGAACAAAACTTTAATAAATTGTAAGTGACACTCATCCCTGATCCTCAGACAGCCCTTGACAAGTACTGATTTTGGGTGTAGCAGAACATTAAACATGGACAAAAACTCCATTAGCTTGCTCTTCTACTAATCCCTGGTCAAGTCTCAAACAAGTACTATTACGTAGAAAACATATACCATTTGCACACTGATTCTACCCATTATCAAAATGTCAGGCAGGTCTCCTTTTTGCAAGAAATTCTGTAACACCAGCCTATAGTTTTTGCATCCTTTGTGCTTTGTATTTCCTTGTTTTGCATCATTATTAATGCATAAATTGTTTCTGTATTTCTTGAGAACTGTATGCTTTCCTAAGCTTTTTATTTTTTCTATTTAGAACATAAAAAACCTTATTTATAGCTTAGTTGGTGACTCATATTATTTCCTGAAAGTAACCCAGATAAATACTTGACTAACTATGAAAAATGTAAAAAGAAACAGATTGCGGTGTGTGAAAATGTTTTTTTAGATGCTAAACTCCATGATAAAACATGTGATTGATGTAAGGGGAAAATAAATGTTGGCATTGTTATGTGCACAAATGTATTTAAAGCAGTTCTTTTTTTTTTTTTTTTTCAATCGTCTGTTTATTAAACATTTTCTTGTTGGGATACAGAAGAGAAAGGGATGTAGGGGTATTGGACAAATTCACAAGTATCACATGCAATATTTCTTGAATATATTCCCCTGTTCAAAGGGTTACAGTATGCATTGTTGCAGTGCGTCTGTTGGATATCAGTGCTGTAGGGTACATCACTATTGCTCGAGGAGGGTGATTCCCCCTGTTTGATCCCAACCTTGCGCCCCCGTGTGTCTGGCTTCTCTGCCCTAGTTTTAGCGCATTGCTGGGTGTATCCCTCTGTCGTTGTTGGTGTGGTGCCCTGTGTAAAGCAGTTCTTTTAAATGTTTCGGTTTTGCCACAGGTCATGTCCGGTTCCTCTAAGGTGGTGTCTGACATCATTCCATCAGTACGCGCATGCGTGGTCACGATCTAGACACCATTTTTCTTATGGTCTGGTTACACAGGCTGCCCTCACTTTCTGAATTGGATGTCTAATGCAGCAAAGTTTTTACAAATTATGGCAATTTATATTAACCACAATTAAACTGCATATTTATATTAACAATAAATAAATATATCCTATATCTAGCCATCACTTTTTGACCCATAACTCAGATATTTTCACTTGCCAATATTTCCTGCTTCCAACACATGAAATTCAAGAACTGATTGTTCACTTACTCTCTAATATATCCTACTTCTTGACTGTTGCCATTGTAATAATATAAATTAGTTATTCACTTTACCTGTCAGTAGTTTTATGTTGGAGCTCATCAATGTATGTCTTGTGATTAAATTATCAGATGAACAATGGAGTCTGGTCCATAGTGGTAGATGGGACAGAACTTCCACTTCCCTTATCCCCAGTTTTCTCGCACAAAAACTCAAAATCAAATATATGGGCATAGTATGGACTAATGTGAGGGGGAAAAATGTTGTGTCTGCCTCTTAATTGATAGCTTGAGATGCTGCAGAGAAACTGAGCAATTAATCACGTCAAGATTTGGGTTATGCAACGCCCCGGCCGTATTCCAAGACTTTATAAATGATGTACTCAGGGAATTCATTTACTCATTTGTCTTGGTTTATTTGGACGATATTTTGGTGTATTCCCCTGATCTTCAAACTCACCACTCCCATGTAAAACAGGTTCTGCAGACGTTGTTGAAAAATAAACTTTATTGTAAATTAGAAAAGTGCATATTTGACCAGCCTGAAGTCCACTTTTTGGGTTACAACATCTCTGCATCGGGATTTCAAATGGATCCTAAAAAACTAGAGGCTGTACTACACTGGCCATTACCCTCTGGTTTAAAAGCCATTCAAAGGTTTATTGGTTTTGCCAACTATTACAGAAGATTCATCAAGGGATTTTCTTCTGTAACTTCTGGGACACTATTGAAAAATAGCCCTATTGTCCTGGTGTAGATCCCTTAGACATGCTTTGTCTGCAGTAATAAGACTTTTGACATCATCCATTGGCTTTTCATTGGGTAAAAAGATCCTAATCGATAGGACTGCATATTGTCCTGTTTTCTAGGGGAGGGTGGAGATGGACTTATTTAAATTGATTGTTGTTTCCTAAATACATGTACCTATAGGCTTACGGTGTTCATCTGATCTTTACATCTCATTGAGTCTGTTTTTGAATAAATGGGACTAAGTGGGCAAAGTCAAATTGCAAATGTAGAGTCTAGAACCCCGCGAGCTTAAAATGTCACCAGCAACCACTGCAGATGGACATATGTTGTCACTTCTTCACTCTCCGAGATCCAGTAAATGCTTCTCACACAATGTTTTTTGTTTGTTTGTTTTTATGCTCTATTGAGTTTTTGTTGAGTGTACATAAATCTATAATGAATATCAGGCTACAGAAAGGATGTTAAATAGAAAATATACATGCATACATACATATACATTCATACATGTGGGTGTAGAACAAGGCTGCAAAACATGGGACTCGAGATTTGAAATAAGTTTATTTTTTGGGAAACAAATATCTATTGGCTGTTAGTGATGATAACCACGTATGACTGATATTTAACAAGAGCATTGGAAACAAGTCCTAAGGCCTTCATTTTGCAAGTCATTGCTTATCTCACCTTAACTCGTTTAGTGGACTTTAGGCTGTTCATTACAAGGAAAAAACTAAACAAAATTGTTTAAATCTGTCAATCTTGAGTCCTAAACATAGAGTAAGTATTTGGAAACCAGTAGAATGTTTTTGTACAGTTAAACATTATATATGTAGCAAATAGTATTTACTTTCACATTCCATAATTTTACATAACTGTTCCAGATCTCAATTGGCATAAATGACATGTCACATTATTTTGTCTCTGTTACTTTGAGAACAGTTACTATATAAATAAAACCACTTGTTCTTTGCTACAGATGAAGCTGTAATATCAATGCCATTAGAAGATCTTATGAGTCATAATTTGACCATAACAGGCCAGGTTTTTACATCACAGTGCATCTTGTATACCCAACAGTATCCTATGACTCAAGACAAAATATATTAGGAACAATTTAATATAAAGTTTAATGGACCCTAGAGTATCCCAAGAGGGATGGTCACTTCTTGGGCCTAAATTTCTATGTCCCAATTTCCTAAAATCCCTCTTTTCAAGGAGCTCCAGCATAAATCTCAAAGTTAGGTGCTTTTAAAACACAATATATTTATTAAGTAAGTAGTCTGGGTTAATAAGTTAGTTTAATTTTGCTTTAAATTTTTAAATTACATTTTATAACAACATTGTTCCTTCAGATTTATTACTTCTTGGTTTCTAAGAAGAATTAATTTCTACTGGACTCTGTCTGGGCAATGTTCATATTTTGTATTTTCTTTCTTTTTTTTTTTAGCAAAAATGTAAAATAAATATTCAAAGTAATATGTCACTTGTAAGTGTTAGATGTATATATATATATCTATACTGTTGAGCTTGTCTTTTGTATCTGTCGGATATACCGGAGGCAGGAGCAGCACCTTGTATGACCCAGACAAAGGGGTTTGACTATTTACAATTGGGCCGCCAGGGCACTCCTGGCACCATAACTACTACAGCATGCTGTAGTGGTTATTGTGCTCGGAGTATTACTTTAAATTGAAACCATTTTTAGCTGGCAGGAAGCATGGCAAAAGATTGTGAAAAAAAATTAGGTTTGTGTCTATTTTTTTCCATTTTACCATATTTGAGATAGGATGTCCCTTTTTTGTGGGATTTATGTTAATTCTAAAGTCTAGCATGGATGATACACTACAGGGACACTATAGTCACCAAAGCAACTTCAGCCTAATTATGGTGTATATATCACTGCTCAATTATCTCCCATTTAGTAGTTATGCAGCCCTAGGCACACCTCCCTGCATTTGATTACACAGCCTTCCTAAACACTTCCTGAAAAGAGTCATCTAATGTTTACACTTCCTTTATTGCAAATTCTGTTTAATTTACAATTCCTTATCTCCTGCTCTGTTAATAGTTTGCTATCCAAAGCAGGAGCCTCCTGTATGTAATTAAAGTTCTATTTACAGAGCAGGAGATAAGACATGTAAGTTAACATGTGATTGAAAATTAAACTATTTTTTTTCATGCAGCTTGTGTGAGTCACAACAAAACAAGGTGTGCAGAGGGCTGCTTAAACAAAAACAAAAGTGATTTAACTTATACATGGCACAGAATCGAGCAGTGAAACTTCAGATGCATGATTTATACACAATAACTGCTTCATTTAGCTAAAGTTGTTTTGGTGACTATAGTGTTCCTTTAAAATGTTATGCTACAGTATAATAAAATCATATGCACATACAAAGTAACAATCATTGCTTGGGTCCCAGAAACCAAACATCTACTATATATGTACTCAAATATTTACCATTAGCTTTTATGTGCTAAAAGTGACCAAACAGGATCATTATGTGCTATAATTTGCATGAAATATTTAAATTTCACAAATCAAACTTTTTTTCCCCATAGATTTTCCTTAGAGACATATCATATTAGATATTTTGCATTTCACTATTTCCAGATGAGCATGAAAAAGAAATGTCAGATTGCTAAGACGGGCAGTGGCAGAAGAATCCATAAAAAAAGATTGTGATCTGGATTTAGAGCTAATTGATTTTCCACCGTTTTCTGTTCTGAGACGCCAACCAACAGGAGTCATTTGCAATAGCCACAGGCAAGACACATTAAATTGATAAGACATCCTGCTGGAACTCTAATAATTATGCCTAACACTTATGTGGTCCTTTAACTATTTAGTGGATGCAAGAACATCACTGTTCTAAGTGCTAAGAACAGGTGGAAAACAGTAGCATTAATGTCTGCTAGAACAGCAAAAGGCTTTGTATGCAATTGCTTGGGTCAATATTATAGCTGTGCGAACGTATAGAATGGACTCTCAGACAGAAATGCTGCTCAGATATATATATTTAAAAGAAGACACAGCAATTTGGTCCTACTGGGTTCTCACCAGTAGTATAGTTGAATATCAGAGCTTGCTTAACTAGAGCAAATACTGCTGGTCTTTTCACATACAGCCGAGGAAAGGGTTCTTTAGAGTAAGAACAATAAAGTTGTGGAATTCTCTGCCTAAAGAGGGTGTCTTATTCAGGGCTTCCAACAGAAAGTTTGGGGCATTTGCACAGCTAAAGTCCTAAGCCCCTGTAACCTGCCCCTAAGTCCACCCACAGGGCCCAACGCCATTCTGCCCTACATAATCTAGAGTAGAGTGCTTCTGTTTCTTTTTAAATATTCGTTCCTGGAAGCCTAGTGACTAAGATGATCCATTTTCATGATGGAATGACAGTTACGGCTTGTTTGCTGAACTCTGAACACACAATTTTTCTTAAGAACATTTTTTTGTCTTGTTCAGTTTATTGGTGGGTTATGCAAGGAAGCAAGGTGAAGGGTCAGTGTAGGGGGGGGTCTGCCTTGACGTTGGCAGGCGGGCATTCCCTCCAATGGCCATTGGAGTAACTAAATGACCTCCATTTGTCTAAATGTACATAGGGATTGAGGAGAGAGCGCAGGTAACATTTTTCCTTTGGTTTTTACTGTGTATTAGGGCTGATGTGTACTGAGGTCATTGCTGCCGCCCAGGAGTGATGGGAGTGAGTGCAGGACTTATCTTTTTGTATTTGGGTTATGCAGGATGCAATAAAAGGTCGGCTAACACAGTATCTAGACTCACTGAATTGCAGGGTTGCATATTTGCCAACATTACATACTGACCTGCCTGGCCTCTCACTGAGTGTAGATGTTTATGTGAAAACATGATTGTTGTGGGGTGATTGCGGAGAG